TGTTGTCAGAGAAAAGTAAACCTGGCAGAAAACGAGCATTGTAAAGTCGGGTCAGAAAAGCACAGGACAAAGTGGCAAGGTTTGGCTTTGGAATGGGGGGGGGAACCAGACCACAGTGCCAGAAAGGCATGTGAAATACAGATTCACAGAAGAATAATGAAAATGAATATGCAGCAGCTGAGATTATTCTGATTGTATGGTAGCTGCACTGTTAGGTGTTGCTGAGCTCCGCTGCTGAGGTAATTTAGTTGATATAATACGAGCAAAGCTTCAGTGCACACAAGTTTGGTCAAATTTGGTTGTGTTTGTTTAAAATGCTAACAGGCTGGGAGGGTGTGAGTGCATTTAAGGCACCCAGGTCATCTGCTTCCCTATAGGCAGAACCCCTGTAGTGATTCCCAGCATGGGAGGGTTTTAGTGAATTCCAAGCTGCCATAAAAGTAATTGTGAAAAAAAGTTCTAAGAGGAAAGTTCTTTTGAAAAACAACTTACATGATGAAGTTGTTTCTGGATTCCTCTTATTAATATTAATAAAAATCTCCAGGCTCTCAGATTTCTGTACCTTTTGCAACTGTTGAACAGTTGTTCATGTTTTATCGCTTGTTTAGCTGTATCACTGCAAGAGAAGTTGTAGAATTTCTTTACAAAACACACTATTGAATTTAAGCGCTTTTTTTCTAGTCATAGTCGTATCTTTTTTTTCTTTTAGTCTTCAAAAACTCATTAACTTTTTTTTTCTTTCCCAAAATTGAAAAGAAATATTTAATTAGAAATTTTAGTATTTGGGTCAAATTTTGGTGGAACCGGGAAGATCCATCCTCCAGCATCTTCCCTCTCCCATGCCAGGTGCTTGGGGCTGGCAGTCCTTGGCTTCCTATCTGTGCCAGCAGCCTTTCTTGCTGACCTCAGTGATGGGTTTAGTTTTTCTCATGAATGAGTTTAAATCAGGCTGACATGCTGGTGAAGTTGAAATCAAACATAGGAATTCTTTGCTGGGGCAGAAGCTCATCCAAAGAATGCGTGTGGTTTAGTTGGTGCTTTCCCACTGTACTTACTTACAACCCAGGAAATGGGTTCTTAAATGTGAAAACCTGGTTCTGCTCATCTGATTTTTTTTTAAAGTCTCAGAGTTGTTTTCTTTTCTCACCGTCTTTTTTTTCTGGGGAAAAGAGGAAAATCTGCTGTGGTGAGAAAGGCTTTTTTTTTTTTTTTTCCTATATATACATAAATTTTGTCTGAACCAATAGTGGAAAGACATCATCTGCATCATCTGTACTTTTCCTTAGGTTCTACAGCAGTGAAAGATTACCTACATGAAGAAAAAAACGGGGTGGAAACACCAAATTCAGTTCCCCTGCCTGATAGGAAAGGACTTGGTGAAACCAAATCGTCAGTAATTCCCCACTTAGGACACTCGCAGGAAGGCTGAAATAGGCATTTAGGGGTACAAGGAAGGAAAGCTGCTCTATTAAATGCAGATTACAGCCCGTCAAGTTAAATAGCAATGCGGTAATTACTTTGTTTGGTTCTATTTGGAATTGCTTTTGTTCGATCCAGGCTGCAATTAACACACTGGAGCAGGCATTGTTCCCTCCTGCATTCCTCTGCTCTTTCAGCGGCCCTCTGAGTGGGGAAACAGCTTATTTGCATCTCTTTGAAAAGGAGTTATTTGAGCTAGCTTAAATTTCGGTTGGTGTTTTTAATTTATCCGAAGGAGATAGTTCCTGTATCTATAACTATGACAGGGAGTCTTCAGCCAGTCCTTTGGCTTCAAGTGAGGTGCTGGTGAGATAGTTCTGGACAGTTCTGGACAACACGTTTGGATTGGCAGGGTTGATGGCAGAGTTACAAAATGATCCTCCTTTGGTAGATTTGGAAAAAATTACATTTTCTTTGGTCAGTAATAATCTTTTCATTGACCTGGCTCTGTCACCTGTAGAGTTGTTTCCTAAACAGATGCCAGCTGACAGTGGGAAGGTGTCCCAGTGCCAGTCTGATGTTTGGGAGCCACGTTTTGCCCTGCTGTGTTAATCAGTGACAAAGCAGTTGCATTTATTTGCTGAAACTATCATGGAACTCCAACAGCAACTTCATGCTATTTGACTTGTTTTGGAATTAAATGACTCCTTGGAAGGGCATTTCTCTTGGTGTTTTAGGGACAAGACACATAATTGCCTCTTAATCGCAAAAGGAAGTTTAATTGGCTACTGGACAGTCTCTTGCTTGAACATTGCTTGAGTTTTCACTTTTGTGGTTTCTTCTTGATTACTTTCAAAGAGAATGGATTGTAAGAAAGGAGTAAGGATTACACTCTAAGTGTATTTTAACAACACATCTATTATGCATGAAAATTCTGTTAACTTCAGGAAAGATGTATTAAATTGTCTAGACACTCTGCTCTTAGTTCAGATTTTAAGTTCTCTTCTCCAGCTCCCCAATAATGGAAATAAAATGAAATACCAACTTATTTTTAGTTACTGGATTTAAGAATGGGATGTCAGCTGTAATAGGAACTGCAGCTAGCTGTGCTGTATCCATCCTGGACTGAGAGATTTGAGAAGGAAGCTTTGCCAGCTGGAACGTGCGTCAGTGTTATCTGCACGTGTGTTGGAACAGATGTTGAGCAGAGACTGCTTGTCAAAGGTGCCTTGTAGTAACTTTTAGAGATGCTTGTTTGTTTCAGTACATTTTTCTTGCATTGCTAATTTTTTCCATAAAGTCAACCACGAGGTACATTATTGGGGATTCCAGCTGAAACTTGTGGTGAATAGGAAATAGATTAAACACAGGTTTTCCCCTTTTCTCTGGTTGCCAGCAGTGATGTCAGTAGTTTTAATGATCCTTACCTCAGCTCGCTGCTGTCCTCGCACTCTCTATTACAACACTTGTCTTCTGCACTGTTTTGTGTGTTGTTAAGGAAATGCTGATGGCTGGAGGTATCCAACCCATTGCTTCATTTCCAAATAAGGTTCTTCCGCCTCAAAACGCACTGTAACAGTTCACTGGGGAGAGAGGAGATTCAGATTGTTTTGTCAGAAAATTTAAGAAATACTCTGTTTTAAGTCCAGCTTTTGGCTATGCATTAGGTGCAGATAAGTATTCCCTGGATGTACTCAACCTTAGGGGCTGAGTGTATTTCCAGTGACCTTGGAGGAGCACTCCTGCTCTTGGAATGGCTGTTTTCTACACACCTTTGTTCCTGCAGGCAGAACAGGCACTGCTGGACTGTAATAGCAGCAAGGGTTGTCCTTCTCAGGTACATAATTTGTGTTTTGTGGAAAAAGATTGGTCAGAATAATTGGGTGTGAAAACAAATAATTGCAATCAGGTTTTTTTCACTCTTTTTACGCATGTGCAGGACTTTAATATATGAGTGCTTGGGTTTCTGTAACTGGGGGTTCCTTCAGTATTATTTTCTTAGTGAATTCCTCTAGGAAGTGTTTAGGTTTTCCAATAGACTTGTTATTCTCTTTTTCCTTTGCTCTTCTGACTTTGGAATCCAAGAAGGAATGCCCGATAGTAGCAGTTGTGACAGCTTCTTGGGCATATTGGTGGAACTGGTGGGGAATTGGATAGGACAGGACAGGCCTTTTGTTCAAAACATTATGTATTTGAGTTTAGATGACCTGAATTCTAGTGAAGAGGTGTAGCACTTGGCCCTGATACTGCAAATTATGTATTATTTATGTACTAAAAATCTCTTAGAATGAAGTCTAGCGACGTAGAAAAGCTGTTCCTTGCCCTCCCTCCTTCCACTTGCCCTGTGGAAAGGCAGGTCAGACTGTGGGGGCCCTGCTGGCTCTGCTGGATGGGAGCTGGGTGTGGAACACCCACCTCGGATATTCAGCACGTAAATCCCGCTCCTCCGTTTAAATGGAGCCGTTTTTCCTTTGTTGCTTGTCTTTATTAATAAAGTATGGCGTTACTGGCTAATTTTAGGTCAATCATAGTTGAAAGCTGTAAAGCCATGTGAAGCCGTATAGAGATATTTGGGTAGGAACATTCCAGTAGATCGCAATGTGAGTGCAGAAGAAAGTTGAAAGTAAATAAGAGATCTGTGAGATAATTCTCCAGGGAGTTTTCACAGCATACCACACATCATTTGCAGGGATAGGCTTTCCTTTCACTTGAAGGACCACACAAAGTAAATTCTGTTTCTTGTGCAATTAGAGAATATAGGACAGGAGGTCTTTTCAGTTTTTTTTACTTCAGCGTGTCTATGGGAAGCCTTTATTTGTACTGAGGAAAATGCAGTGTTTACCATCCTTTCAGGAGCACAGTTAATATCAAATATAGAAATAGACACACTTTTATGTAGAAATCTAAGTCTTGCTTCATCAGATCGGAGGCGAAACTCCCGAAATGTAAATGGTGGTAGTCCTCTAACCCCAGTTAGAACAAAAATGATATTCATTTCACTGGTGTTCAGTCCCCAGCGGGTCTGGAAGCAGAATGTAGGTAGATTTATGGACTTCAGCAGGGTTTTCTGGATACAATTTTTTTTTACAGCTCGTGTGTCAACAGGGAGTGGTGACACTCCATTCCTTGGTCATCCTTCTCGTGCAAGCTGTGGTGTTTGCAGGTGGCCGGGAAGCCCTCTTGTAGGGCCTGACATCTAACAAACCTTCCCTGCAGCCGCTAAAAACGCCAACAGCAGGCTGGTGTTTGGAGCTTTTCTTTCTCTTGTCACAGGGGCTTGTCAGAGTTAATCAGTATGGACACTTAAATTGTTTCTGCTTAGGTGAATCTCTTGCAAGTTTTAAATGTGTTTCTGACTGCTTTGAATTTTATTGCCAACATCTGTTTTAAATGCTTTTGGGATTCACGTGCTTGAGTGCAGTTCAACTGTATGTATGCCATAATTTTTCAAGGTACTAACAATTCCAGTTTAGATGATAACTCTTTGAAAGAAAAAAAAAAGGAAGTATGGGGAGGGAAATAATTGCAAAAAAGCTCTTAAAATCCCCACAATGCTGATTTTCTTTCTCTTTCAATTTCAGAACGATGACCTACACAACCTCAGCAAATCCTCCTTTTTAAACTCATGGGTATCAAGACTATAAATGTTTCATGCTATCACAACTAGGACCTCACCTCCTCCTCCTCCTCCTCTTCCTCTGTAAATGGGTACGATGCATCCAGTTCAGTTTGTTTACTTTACACAATCCTCAGGAGTTGTTTGACTGAGCTGCACATCCCGTGTTGTGCCAAGCAGAAGCACTGTGACACCTGGACAACGAGTCTCTCTTATTCATCCTCCACCATAAAGGACTTAGCTGGCCACATGAACTGATGTGCCCACCACTGTGTCATGGTGAGAATGGGTATTTTACTAGCACATTTACACAACTTCATTTGCTGCTGAAAACCTGTACGACAAATCATCATTGTAAATTATTGCATACAGAACTTAAATGTCGGTTGAAGAGTATTAAATATTTAACATAGGTTTTGATTTATACATGTACTTTTTTTAATTAAAATGTAACTTTTCCTACAGCACATCTTTTTTTGATGTGGAACTGAGGTATACTATATTCTGTTGTAAACAGAGTGGGAAACCTGCTTAAAACAAGGCTTCTAAGAATAGAGTAGGGTACTATTCTTGTTTTAAGATTGTAATTCAGAAAATAATATAATATGAGTCATTGGTCCCTGGGCCTTGATTGTACAGTCATATTTACTGATACTATCAGTTGTAAGATAACCCTGATGTTGAGTTGAAATCTTTCCAAAAGAAAAATAATTTTGTACTCCTTGTAAGATAATAGTCTGTATTAACTACGATGAAGACAAACATTACTGTACATGGTATTTACAAGTGTCAACTTGAATTCATCAATTGCACAGGAACCGACAAAAAAATCAGAAAAAAGAAATCAAAGTCTTCCATTGTATATATTGTAAAGATGAAAAACGAAAAAAAAAACCAACCAACAGAAAACCACAAAACAAAATGAAAACGAAAAAGGGTGAACTTTTCAAATTGACTCTTTCCCTGGAATGAAAACGTGGGTGTTTGTAAATTCTGGAAATCTCTTTCTATATGTAATAAACTAGATACTGTTTTATCTGCTGTAGTAGTTTTTGGGTTTTTTTCTTTGTTTTCTCGGTGAGCTGTCTGAACTCAAATTGTCCCTCCAGGTTTCTGTGTGTCCGTGAGAACATCTGTGGACCTTCCATAGCTTAAGAATGAAGTCAAGTGTAATTAGGTGTAGCAGGGAGTGTGCTTCCTTGCACTATTCCACTAAAGCCCTTGTTTCAGTTCCCTGGAGGATCTTCAGGATACAGCCCTGCTTCCACTGAAGTTGGTGGAAGAGCTCACAGCACATGAAATCGCTTGGAAGCCACAGCAAGACTTCAGCGAAACATTTAAAGAGTGGCTCAGCTGGTTGTCTGGAAATCAGTGCAAGAGGAAGGACGAGGAAGAATTCTTCTGTGACTCCCCTTTGCTCCCCTCTGGTTCTATGCAGATAGAAGTTCTTTTGTACATAGCACTTGCAGAGTCTTAATTCTTTCGGGGGCTGGAAAAGCACTGAGATCATGGATTTTCGAGTAAAATGTTGTTGAAGTGATAATTGAACTTGAAGCCGTGTCAGGTCCCCGTTGGTCCCTCCTGCTTCTGCGAAGCAGCTCCATGGACCAGTGCACATTCAACAGAATTCTTGTTATCAGGAACAGGCAGGCACTCACAGCACCAGCTCTCCCTGCAGGAAGGCTGTCAGACCCTCAAAGAAGGAGTTTCTTCCCCCTGAGATGTTTCTGATGGCTGGGGTTAGGCTGTGGTTAATGCAGAGTCCCCTTCTGGCTGCAGTACAGGCCGAGGGGCCACTGCACAGCTGCTTTTCACCTCTCCTTTGGCTGGAGGCAGAGCATCCCCCTGGATCTGCTGCTGTTACTGCACATAGAAAACCACTTCGACCCTGTCAAGTCAGAATATTCACTTAAGAAAGGACTTGCAGCTTAAGAATGCTGAAATCATTGCAGATCACTGGGAGCAGCTGCAGCAGGGGTGGTGCTGGCAGCGTGAGGATGTTGCTGCATGAGGAGGCTGCAGCCTGAGAGGGACCTGCACCTGCCCAAATGCTGCAATTTCTAATTTACCCATTTTATCTTGAACCTTCCTTTTTTGTTCTTTTGGTTCTTTTTTTCTTTTTTTTTTTTTTTTTAAGTGGGGTTTAGTTGCAATGACAGCTTGCCTGAAGTAAAAACATAAAAACAACTCATCTCCAACCTCTTTGCCCACAGTCTTCTCCAGCTTTAAATTAAATGTTCACTGTGTTGCTAAATATTAGCCTCTGTTAATGTTAAAAGTGCCTTGGATAGAAAATTATTTAATGTCAGTTGTGCTTTGCATTGTTCCAGGTAATTTGCAGGCTCTGGCTATTACTGAAATCACAACTTGGAAGGTGCTGGAAGCTCCTGTTGAGTTTTAAAAGGCAGTGTTTAATCCTGGTAGGAGTTTTTCACAGTGATACATCTATGAGCAAATTTTGGTCATAAAACAGGAATTTTAAAAAATGGCATGCATTCCCAGTGGTCATTAGGGAAGGGAATGGTGGGGGGTGGAGGCAGTGCTGATGTGGTGGGTTTCCATTCATGTTTGATAGTAACACAGCCAGAGAAAGCAGCTTGTTAAAGATGTTTGTGTTAATCGCTATTTTTCCTAAGTAAAGTTAAACATGCCTGTTCAGCAGATGTTTTGGAAAGGTTTTTGAAGCAAAATGCATTCGTAACCAAACCTGAAACTCTTGATTGTTGCATAGATTTTTATTCTTATAAGTTAAAAACTTTAATAAACAGACCGTTATGAACCAAACTGTTTTAAATGAAAGCATAAGTGCCTCAAAAATGCAGTACTATGCTGTATTATCCTTTTATGAATTCTTTTGTGCTGTCTGCCACAGAACAGATTGTCATTTCTGTAAGTTTGAAAACTCAGATGCTCAGGAGTTTATTTTGCCTTTATTTATTTTTATTTATTTTATTATTTATTTATTTATTTTTTAAAATTTTCATTTTTATTTTTATTTTTTTTATTTTTCAAGTGGGAGTTTCTGGTTATTATTTGAGTTCCTTTCTGGCTCTGTTACTGGGATAGCTTCAGTTTTCAATAACTTTGTAGTGAATGCATTTATTAGTGCTATTGCTTGAAAATGAATGGGGTTGGAGAAACCATTTGAAGCCATCTCTAGGAGAACAAGGAACATTTACACACTTGGGGTTTTGCAAGGATTGCTGTGTTCAAGTTCAGTTTGATTCTGAGTTGATGTGTGTGTTGTGGAACTCTAAATAAATCTTTGTCCTTCTAGTCTTTACTATTAACTTTTATTTACTTAGATGCAGCAGGATGAGCAGCCTTCACCCTTGTTTTTGGAATGATTAGCTGGGTCTAGCACTGAGTAGCAGCCTAAGTCATTTCATGCTGCTAATTGAACCAATCTGGGCAGATGTTTGAGCCCTTGTTCTGCAACTTAATTCACCTAAGCTAGCTTAGGTTAAAGGAACAATATTGATAATAATGAAGTTAGGAAAAATATTTGCCCATCTCCTGTGTGACCTCCAGACCTCCAACCCATCTTTGGGTGCAGGTGACTTTTTGGTAGGTTCGTTTTTGGTTTTGTTTGGGGTTTTTTGTTGTTTGTTTTGTTTTGTGGGGTGTTGTTTTGGTTTTTTTGTTTGTTTTTTTTTGATGGTTTTTTGTTTGTTGGCATTTGTTTATTTCAGCCTGCAAACCTTGAGACTGGCTCACTGGTGTAAATGGTGCTATACACCCTTCTCCAGCTCACCTTGTTTTTATCTGCCTGTTAGTGTTTCCATTGAGTTGTGACTTTAAAGACACCACAAGTAAGTTGTTTGTGAACTTACCAGATGCCCATATGGAGACTGGAAAAGAGTGGAGGTGGAAAAAAGTGTCAGGACTTTTAGTTTGTAGAGAAGTTTTTTTGGTTTTGTACCTTTATGTGATGCTGTTCTCCAAAAAGATGACACGAGGCATCTGTGATTTGCAGATGTCCTGAAAGAACACTGATACATAAGAGGAAAAGGTGGAGGGTAATCAAGGACTACTTGGGAAAGCAGGAGTTATTCTAACTTCAGCATGTAAATACTTCCAGCTTGGATGTTTGGGTGCTGGATTTGGAATAGCAGTAATGGGATAACCAAATACTCATGTGTGCCTGCAGTGGGCGGGCTCAGATGTTACAGAACAACCCAAGAACTGCATGTCTGCTATGAGACAGTAGAACTGGGCACAAGGCCTCTTGGAGGGAAGGATGGAGGGAGAACTCAAGCACTTTGTGCCCTGCAGAGCTTGTTTTTTTTCTGTAAAAGGTTCTGTGCCGTTCTGGACTCCTGATCTCAGTTGGTAGATGGTTTGAAAATTGGCACTTTACGTTACCCAAGGGCCAGGAAGATAACTGCTAGGAAGTCCCTCTAGCACTGCACAACCTGTGGAAGGGCTCTGCTTGGAGGATCTCTCTGGCTCTTCAAGGATTCCCAAAAGTCCCATTTCTGCTGTATTAGGATACTTGACAGTTGTACTTGGAGATGGACAGCAAGAGGATGAAATAAAACCAGTGTGCCTGCTGTAGGTTGACTAAGTTGAATACATCTCAGAGAAATCAAGTTATCTCTAGGCAGATGAACTGTATTGAATCAGAACAAGAGGAAGTGGAGTTAGGTGTGATAGTCATGGCTTGATAAAATGGTTCTGCTTTCTCAGCCACTCATGGGCCCTGCTCCTGTCTGTAGACATTGAAGTGCTGGTTATTTAGAGGGAAAAGACCTGACTGGAGAACTCACCTACTTGTGTTTGTAGAAGATAGAATGTTGCAAGGACAAACCATTAAAGCAGCAATGCCAATACAGAATTGATAAAAAATTGAAAACTACCAGATGTCTCTGATATTTTCACCAGTAATTTTTGAAGAAGAAAAGTTCTGACTCTACAGCTCTGTTGTGATCTGCCTGTCCAAAGGCTCGTGGCATTGCAGTATATTGTATATGGCAGTCACAATCCATGCTTTGCTTTTATACTTTTATTTCTTAATTTCAAAATCAACCTGGCACTGTTTGGCTGTCATGACTGAACCTTCCTGGTATGTCAGGGGTTGCTCCTCAGGTTAGTGTGGAGAGGAACCACTGTCCTGTTGGGTTTTCTTATCACAGTGGTGGTTGCTCTGCTTTTCCACTTTTTTTAAAGATTAACTGAAAGAAGAAATGGTAATTTTAACTACCAGTTTACTATTTCACCTTCAGCTGGTGAATTCGAAACAGCATTTCATTTTCCTTTAAACTGTTGTCTGAAAATCTGATTATGGCAGGAGTTTGAGAGCAACATCAAATCCCAAATTTCTGGCACGTCCTGATTCTGCAGTCCACGGAGCTGTGAGCAAACTCGACCCTTGTTTCTTCCTCAGGCCTCAGTATCTTTTGAAATCAAGGACAGGTTGTTGGCTTTTGGTTTTAAAAGGCTGATGGAAACAGGGTGAATTTCAGTCCAAAACACAGATTGAGCCCATGCAGGGCCAAAAAGTCATTATTTGTCCTCCAAATGACTATCTTTGGAGAAAAAGTGGTGTCTTCTAACAGCCTTCAGACCCTGCTGTGGCGTCAGTGACTGATTGCCCTTGGTCCCCCCATCCCAAGTGGCCGTGCCCTGGCTCTGGGTGCTTGTCCCTCCTCAGCAGCCACTGCTGTCCATGTTAGGCTCTGTGTGAAGTGGCCTGGTAATCTGTTGGCTCATCACCAGTCTCCCAGTCATGTGGGTGATCCAGAGGGTTGTCATCTGAGGTGAAAGATAAGGAGAAGGGTCTGACCATGGCACATGGATGTGAAAGATCAAGAGACTTCTGCTCTGTTGTTTTTAAAATCAGAGCTGACAATGGGACATGAGTGAGCTGTTTGGTTTTGCCTCTTCCAAAGCATTGTATGAAGGTGATTAAATCCCTGAGTGTGATTTACGCCTTAGTTTTGTGTATGCAAAAATGAAGCTGATTTTTACCTTCTTCATTGAATTGTTGGGAGGATTAAATAACAAATAAGAAGTACTTGACTCCAGTAGTGTTGGACAGC